TAAGTAAGCTATGTAATCAGGATCCATTTGCTCAATGCTTTCCATGACCGTGTCCAACCCTGAAGAAACAATTACCACACCTAGTGGTGTTGTCTTCAGTCGCACTTTCCCAAAGTCCAGATTGCGGCATGTGGAAGCTCATATTTCATTGGGCTAAATCTGGACTCTGCATTGACCCCCTCTCACCATATGCTGCGTGCGACATGCTGCCCCCCCCTGACAACTGGCGAGCTGAGCGCTGGTTGGCTGGAGCGCGACACCAGCGCTGACCCCTCCTCGGGCACTGATGTCCCCTAACATTTAACTCATTGTCGCCCATATTGATACTGAGGTTCCTGTGCCCGCAGTGCCGACGGAGACTTCGCCATCGTTCACGAGACCAAAGTGCTTCTGGAGCACACAGGAATGATCACATGGAACCCACCGGCCATCTTCAAGAGCTACTGCGAAATCATCGTGCTGCATTTCCCCTTTGACCTCCAGAACTGTAGCATGAAGCTGGGCACCTGGACCTACGATGGAAACTTGGTCGTCGTCAACCCTGTAATTGACATTTTTAGTGGAATAGTTCTGTATTTTGGAAAGCTACATGTTACACTATCATGGGGTTTTCTGTGCCCGACCGTTCGTCTGCCAGCGGCAGTGACTAAAAACACACAAAGAGTACAGTTCTAACAAAAGAGACGTGACACATTAATTGAGGGTGCTCTCCTCCAATGTGAATATTCAAACCTACAGAAAGTTGACTTCAAGTCATGCTACACTAACGGTCTCCTGCATGTACATTTATACAGAGTGGTATTGATCCTATGATCATCTCTACATCATCCTCTCGTGTGTGGCCTCTCTCCACCAGGACAGTGAACGTCCTGATCTGAGTAACTTCATGGAGAGCGGGGAGTGGGTCATGAAGGATTTCCGCGGCTGGAAGCACTGGGTGTACTACGCCTGCTGCCCAGACACACCTTACCTGGACATCACGTACCACTTCCTCATGCTGCGGCTCCCGCTCTACTTCATCGTCAACGTCATCATCCCCTGCATGCTCTTCTCCTTCCTGACTGGTCTCGTCTTCTATCTCCCCACAGACTCTGGTATGTTGACACGGACATCAAGACAAAAAGAAAAATTGACGCAAAGTAGCTCTTTGTTTTTGATTTTTCCAAAAAGCATTAATCATACACGATACAGGAACTCATAACATACATACAAAATATTCTGTAAGCTTCCTGCATATTGCTTATTATCATGTGCGTTTTTATGATACGATAACCCAACACGCCGCAAGCGCGGCACTGCCTGTGCGCACATCTGCTCATATTCCCAGTGTGTAGGTCTGCCTCATTACCCAGGGTCCCTCTGTGTTGTCATGTCTGAAAGAAGGCTTTTGCTTTAATGTATAATAGATCACTTGATTCCAGTTCCTGATATGACTGCTGACAGGAACGTGTGGAGAAGAAGCTAGTGCCGGGAGATGATCTCCCTGGGATTACTGCTCGCACTGAGCAACAAAAACATGTCTTGCATTTCACTTGTGAAATGGTGTCAGAATCTGTTTACTTGCGCTATTGTTGGGCGGAGAAGCAACAAACACAAGATACCTCACACTTGATTGGATTGGCTGGTTTGGTTGATCAGTGGCTTCCTTGCCTTGCTGTGTAAATACTGTCCTGATTGGATGGGAAGGGAGGAGAAGCAGTTACTCATAGCAACAGCTCTCCCTGTTGGCAATGTAGTAAGATTGCATGTTATTGGTATCACAGATAACAGACGTTTAAAGTGGCAGCTCCCCAATTCACAAACCACTTTCAGGGTCATTTATTTCAATATGCCTTTTAAAGATTAGGATGTGTTGAGACAACACAGAATGCTTTATTCATTGTGTTAACAAAAGCAAAATATTACAATATTTTTACAATATTCTGGGACAGAAGTAAATGTCTAAATTTAAGAGGTTTGTAACATTTTTGCAATGTGACCCCCCTCATAAATTGAACTTTATGTAGAATGATTTGACATTACAATATCAAGGATTATTAGAGTTGTCAAGAGGTAATCTTATCTGGAAACGAACATAAAAATAAAAGCTAAGGTAAATAAGAAATGGTGTTGTGAAAAGAAAAAATCAATTTATTTAAGTTAATTTGTTATTAACGGCACCTGTAAACCAATCAAGGTAATTTCTGTATTGGTTTTAAACTTTTGGATCATATCACACAAGCAAAATCCATCTGATGATGGAGAGTAGGTGATAGTAAAAGGACATTGTGGTGAGATTGTTCTGTCAATTTATTTATTTTTTTCTCCATACTGTTACTCATCTTAACCCCTCAGCCTTGTCCTGACCCTCCGATCATGTCCGGACCTCCTCAATGAGAACAACCAGTACAAATGTTGATGGAATATTACTCTGCGCTGCATATTGCATGACGTTCTCTCGGTTTTCCAATGACTAAAGTGAGGACGTCATTGTGTGTCTCACAGGTGAGAAGATGACTCTCAGCATTTCCGTCCTACTGTCTCTGACTGTGTTCCTGCTGGTCATTGTTGAGCTGATCCCCTCGACCTCCAGCGCTGTACCACTCATTGGGAAGTACATGCTCTTCACCATGGTTTTTGTCATTGCCTCTATCATCATCACGGTCATCGTCATCAACACCCACCACCGCTCCCCGAGCACTCACACGATGCCCAACTGGGTCCGCACGGTGAGCAAAACAGGATCTATCAATGCATTGGTCCTATTCCCCAGCCTGGAAGGCCTTGGAGAACAATCCTTCATGGTTTCTCTCTGTAGTATGGTGCCATCTAGTGCTAGCAGATATATCAAATATATTTGTTGTTTCTGTCGCAGGTTTTTATTGAGACCATTCCCAACATCATGTTCTTCTCGACAATGAAACGCCCAGGAAAAGAAAAGCAGGCTAAATCTAGTATTTATGGTGCTGATTTTGACATCTCGGACATCTCTGGCAACCAGACGACTTCTATTACCTACCAGTCACCCATCACCAAGAACCCCGACGTCCGCAGTGCCATTGAAGGAGTCAAGTACATCGCAGAAACCATGAAATCCGATGAGGAATCCAATAACGTAAACTTTCTCACACAGGAAGATTCACAAACATTATTTATTTATTTAATGATACTTGCTTTTGTGTAAGTGACACTCTGTCTCTCTTTTTTTACAGGCTGCTGAAGAATGGAAGTTTGTAGCCATGGTGTTGGATCACATTCTGCTGTGTGTGTTCATGGCAGTGTGTCTCATCGGAACGTTGGGAGTGTTCGCAGGCCGTCTCATTGAGCTCAGCATGTTGTAAAGGCGTGCACTTTCGCAGTTTTGTTGCTCAATGTGAAACCCCCAACCTTGTTTTTAAATGTACTGCATGTTTCCCAGCAGCATTCACATAGCATGTAAAAATCTCTGTTTGCTCAAAAAGTGTTTCGGACCTATTTGATGTTGTGAAAGAGCGTGATGATCACGGTATCTTCAGCATATTTTATGATAAAACTGTGTTGTTTTTCCTCTTTATGTGAATATATGTGTGCAATTTAAATGTTGAATTTATTTAAAGAAAACGTTTGGAATATTTTTCTTGACACGTTTTTAGGGAACAACTGTATAAAAGGTGTTTTGTCAGCTTTTAAGGTAATCTGTACAATAAAAGACATATTAACTCTAAAAAGCTGATATTTCTTTTACAAGCTCAAAACTCTATATAGTTGCCTATTCACATGACGCAACGATGCTTTTGACAGAAGACTTAATGATTCAAAACAGTTATACTTGTAGGCTTTTAAACAATGAATTATCAAGGTTAAAGATGAGTGACAGTGCAAACCTAAGTTAAATTTATCTATGAGCATATCCCAACAAAACATGACAGTCCCATTAATGACACAGTCATGTGACCCATTGTTGACATACATATATTGATATATTGATTTTAACTGAATAAATAAGTCCTTGATAAATGACTGGTGCTTTTGTTACTTGTTTTTTACAACAAGTAAATCATTAGGTTTTGCAATCTAAGTAGAAACCTCGGTCTGGTACTTTGTACAAGTCTATTTCCCTTAACGATTTGAACATTCCGTTACCAATAACAGTGTATATACAAACATCTTACATCGTACAAATAAAACATTCAATACTACAAAATTCAAAGCCTGCAATAATAATATGAATTATTAATGAAATTGTATTTCAAAAAACTATTTAGAGCAACACCATTGTACCAAGCAAACACCTCACAATACAATGAGAATACTTTTTTTGTAGCAACCAGAATAAGGGGTCTTTGATATTACTTGATGAGGATGTATAGATATTAACGCCAAATTCATACATTTGAAAAATGTTACTAAAGAGTGGTTTATGTGAAACATTGTTGCCGCAATGCAAGGGCCGCAATGCTGTGATGTTTATGTCCAATAAGCCCCGCCCCCTCCCGCAGTGTGGGTCTGATTGGTCAAATCGTTGTTGAGAACCGGAGATTGTAAACTTCCTGGGTGGGAGCTAAACTACCGTAAACACGCAGTTTACAACAGACAACGTCAACAACGCAATAATTGCGCAAACTGTTTCCTGACAGTGGATTTTAAAGCTGTTTTAAGTCCATGTAAAATAGTGTTTTCGACGACACCCTGGCTCTCGGTTCACGCACTTAAGCTAACGTTAGCTTAGCTGGCTAATGGCTGCTCCTGCCCTCAGGTGACCGACAGCAGCTTCATATGAGGGGCACAACAAGAAGAAGTAACGTTGGGTGAGTGACAGTAACACTCGCACTGGCGTCGAGCCGCTTGTTGGCAATGGAAACAGTCTTTACAATCGACTCTGTCACATAACGTCGCTTCGCTTAAGTTAACGCAGTCGTCTCGTCATCTTTGCACCAAACCTGTCTCACCGGCTCCACCTTTCATCGTTGGCTCGTTTCCCTCTCATAGTTTCTGGGAATAATGCCGAGCCGCGGACATTGACGTGACTTCCAACCGGCGAACGACTGGGTCCACCGCGGCGGGAGGCTCGCCATGATGGAGGTACCGGAAAGAGCCACCAACTTGAGTGTTCCACACGGGGAGGGAGGCGACCCGGGCCCCTCCGGGGTCTCGCCCAGCATGTCCATCGACAAGCTGCTGCCGGCTCTCCTAGAGTGCTTCGGGATAATATTATGCGGCTACATCGCCGGGAGGGCGAACGTCATCACGTCCGCGCAGGCCAAAGGATTGGGCAACTTCGTGTCAAAGTTCGCTCTGCCGGCGCTGCTGTTCAAGAACATGGTGCTGCTGGACTTCGGTGACGTCATCTGGCCCTTCCTGTGGAGCATCCTCATCGCCAAAGCGGCCGTGTTCGTCGCCGTGTGCGCGCTCACGCTGCTGGTTGCCCGTCCCGAGGGCCGCTACAGCAAGGCTGGACTTTACTCAATATTTGCCACCCAGAGCAATGACTTTGCCCTGGGGTATCCCATCGGTGAGTAGGGCGGCTTCGGGCCGACCACCCGCTGTGCTTTCTGTTCCCTGCTGCGACCGTAATCACGCTGGGATTATCCTTCAAACTAAAGTTATAACGTTGGGAATTGTAATATAACACTGTAAACTACCTCAGCAAACAGAATGGGGTCAGCTTTGCTTGTGGATAAACACCGACATGGTGTTATTCTAAAACAAATGGGGTCATCTTTGCTTTTGGATAAACAACAACATGGTGTTTATTCTAAAACGTAGAGGTTGTCATCATTTCGTAGCAAAGTTGGATCCCTCATTCTATACTTGCAGAAGAATGAACACATCTTTGATCATCCTTATGCACAGTTATCTTTAGTTGAGTTGGACATTGAATTTAGCAAAACTGGCCTAATGGATTCATTTGGAGAAATAAAAACTGTGCATTAATGGTCTTTTTATATTTGCTTATAACATTTACCTCAAAATGTAAAAAAAAAAAAAACCTTTCATCTTGAATTAATTCATTTTAACAGTTAAATATTTGTTCTGAAGATTAAACATTTGCTTATTGTAATATATTTACCCGAGGCAGGAATTTCCTCTTGGCGAACTGCTTTTGGGACTCAAGCGAACAAATAATTTGTGCCAAGCAGGTTTTGTTGATGAGCCATTTCTTTTATCCACAGTTGAGGCCCTATACAAGAGCACGTACCCAGAGTACCTCCAGTACATCTACCTGGTTGCCCCGGTGTCCCTGATGTTCCTAAATCCCATTGGCTTTGCCTTCTGTGAGGTCCAGAAGTGGAAGAATGGAGCATATCGGCAGCAGAGAAAACTCTTTATTGTGGGAATTGTAGTCCTACAAGTGCTGAAGAACCCCATCGTGTTCATGGTGGTCATCGGCATCATCGCCCATTTTGCCCTGCAACAGACAATCCCCCCCTTCATGGCTGAATTTGTGGATGGCTTGGCCAACTCTTTTGGAGGAGCAGCGCTGTTCTACCTGGGTCTGTCCATGGTGGGACAGTTGGGCAAATTGACCAGATCCACAGTCGTGACACTGATATTACTCACAACAGCCAAACTGTGAGTGGAAAAAACAACTTTGCTCCTCCTGATGTTTGTAGTACAAGAGATGATTTTGTGTTATTGGATGGCCTCTTTCTAATGAGACTTGCATGCACTTAGGATTGCATAGAGTCGGCAGGTTAGAACTCTGTAAAGTTCTCCCCACATGTTGTTTGGTGGCGTCACACACTTCTCCCACACCACAAGCCTTTTTACCAAGTGGATGACGTGCAAAGAGGTCTCAGGAGTGCACACCATAATAATAGCTCTTGTTAATATGTTAGTAGAACTGCAGTTCTCGTCATAGTGAGAACTAAACCCTCACATAGTGACTCATGCCACCAGTCTCTGGATTTCAGGTTGCTGATGCCGCTGATTTGCAAGGAATTGGTGGATCTGTTGGACATAAGCAACACCAGTGCGTTGAACCACTCGAGCCTCTCCAATTATGCGTTTCTTTATGGAGTGTTTCCCACTGCGCCAAGTGTGGCCCTCTATGCTGTCTATTATAACGCCGAGCTAGAAGTTGTGAGTTGCTTCCATCCTCTTGTACACCATTCAAGATTACAAACTGCTCCTTTCTTTGTATCTTACCCGCGTCGTTTTGATTTCTGCTTCCTAACAGGTAGCGTCTGGGATGGTGATCAGCACTTTCCTCTCCGCTCCAATAATGTACGTTTCTGCCTGGTTACTGACGATGCGTTGGATGGACCCTCAGCTTTTGATGAATTCGCTGCAGACCGTCAGCTTTAACATAAGCATTGTTTCCTTGGTTGCACTGGTGAGTCACAGCTAGACGCTAATGTGTGAACTTGTGGTCGGCTAATATTCCATTACTCACTCTATGATGAATGGCTCTTTTGTTTTACGTCCTTATGTAGATACTGAGGTCAAAGTGAAGCCATAAAGCATTTGTCATAGCATGCTCCACTTCTTAACTGGAAGCAGTTTGCCCCGTCACGATGTCAGTTAGTTTGTTCCATAACGTGGCACAATTCACCATTTGATAATACACATTGTGTTTGTCATGGGAAACGCTCAAATGCAAAGAGCACACAATACAAAGTAGATGTTCCAACCACTGGTAGGTTGACTTAAACTGCTTTCTCATTCAGAGGATGTGCGGCAGAGATGCTTACCGACTTATGGCGCTACTTCCTCATTCATTTTTACTTTCAGTGCATATTTTTAAGGAACCTGCATTGCTGGAAACGATGACAAATCTTTGTTGTGAGGAACATTCTTCATTTTCGAGTTGGTATTCTGCTGCAGTACCTTATACTGTACTCATTCATCTTAGTGCTCCTGGTGTCATTCTGTTGAATAATTTCACAAGTCCTTTGCTTTTAAATAGATCACCTGCCAACAATGTTTGATGAGCCATTTAGGGTAAAAGTGTTTTCTCCTACAGGTGTGGACAATTGTTGTCATGTTTTTAAGCAAGAAATTCAAGAGGCTACCTCACACGTTTACAGTGCACCTTTTCCTGGCTCAGGTGAGCACACTTGCATGTTCTCACTAAATGTATTTAATTATCCATCTGTTGAATTGACAGGACCAGTAGGTATAACTTCACATCATTCGATGGTTTTCTAGTTTCTAACGTGCTTCGGGATGATCCTGTGGAACTTTGTGGTGAAAGAAGACAACTTCGTCGCACAAGTTCTGACATTCACGTTATTATGTACATCACTCTACAGCACCTTCCTATGGCCAGGTACGCTTTGCATGCACACACCCATTCTGACCAGCTAACCCCACATTGATCTATCTTGGCGAGCCCTGAAATCTGAAGGTGGATTGTGAATTCTGTTCTGTCCTTTCAGGTTTAATAGCTCTTTCTCTTGTGCTCATGAAGAGGTTTGAGGATGTGAAAGTTTCTCCAGGCGTGTTTGTCATTGCTGGCTGGGGGTGAGTCATTGGAGGGGAAACAGAAGTTAGAAAAATAAATTTGTCTGGTCTATTAAAAGGACTAACGGCCCTGAAGCAGAGTTTGCATGTTGCCAGCAGTGCGTAGATCTGCACATGAGCTGATATCCTCCCGTACAAGTACTGAGGGTACAGTCTAACATGAGTGATGATGCCTCCCTAAATGTAAATGATCCAACATGAATATTCAGATCCTGCAGGTCTATCCTGCAGTTTTTTGACGTTAATATGGTTTACTTTTTACATCTTGATACTGTTGGTGATTATATTTTGTAAATGTCTTAAATCAACAGGGTTCCAGCCTCAGTAACTGCTTTGTTGCTCATTTCTGGGGGGAGAATTTCCGACACGATTGACTCTGCATTCTTTTACGGCAAACCACAGGTGACAATCAAAGTGGAAATCATTACTTTCTTTCTGCCATTGAATCCCTAAATAGTTACTTAAAAGTCTGCGTCTCTGTATGTGTGTTCTTTGACAGATCATCTGCACGACAGTTGTAGTTGCCCTCAGTATACTGCTGGGCGGGAGCTCTCTTGTGTGTCTCAGTAGAGGAAGCTGGTCCCATGGGGACCAAAGCCAAGAGGGAAACACTGCAGAGGATCTAGTGACAGAGCTTGAACCAGAAGACCAGACTGGGATTGAGCCATTTGCCCCATCAGCAGATGTCAACAGAGGTACTTTCTCTATCGGAGACGTTTAAAAGGAACAACAATTCAACCTTTGTGTTTGATGATGAAAACACTTATTATATGAAATGTGATTTATATAATTGTGTTATAGTATATGATAATTCTAACCTCTCATTGCAACACATCTGTTAGAAAGAGTCTTACTCAACAGCGGTGTAATATACCATTAAACATTTACTAAATAATATTTGCAAGTAGGAGACAGAATTGACGCAGATACAAGTCATGCATCAAGGCTACTCAAAGGTCTTCTTCTACGGCGCTGATCAACATACTAAAACAAGAGGGATGGGGGGGCTCTGGGCAAAAAGGTCCTGTGCATCATTCCTAAATATAAAGCTCTTCACCTTAGAGCCCCAATAATGTCAGCTATAAATGTCAGCTAGATTATCTGGACATTGAGGCGAAGACATCCTGACCGTCAGCAGACTCGGAACACAATATGTGACTGTGTGAGAGTTCATAGATTCTCTGTCGTCAAAATAACATCGACTAACGTAAAACAACAACAGATTACAGTTGGAGCTGCTGAATCATTCAAAACAATAAGTCAATCACAAAGGGAGAGTTTCTTGAACTTGCTTTCAAATATTTCTGTTGAGAAATTCAAGGTGTGTGTGTGTTTATACTGTACATACACACAATTGAATGTGCTTTTTGCTTCCAGTGTGAAGATATTATAGTAATTTGTTCTTAATCACCCGCTTTCATCACTTGTTATCAGAGTGCCTCATATGTGACTGTGCACCACCCCCGCCCATGCCCGACATGATCACCAGCACAAACATGAACAACCCTCCAATCACACTAGCAGGTATCGTATTGATCAGCAGCACACATGCATTTTAAGTAAAGTCAAAAACCAAACAGAACCACCATTGAATAATGTCCAATTTTTCTCTCCAACGAATAAGACAGTATCTGATCTATGTTGTGCTGCCTCCCCCAGGTCAATGTGAGAATAGCTGTGAGTCCTCAAGCTGCCTGCTTGTCCAAGCGGAGGAGCTTAAACAGGTTGCGGACACACAAGTGGCCCGTCATGTGCTCTTATGTCTGCTTCTGACTGTCAGCCTGCTTGCTGTGAGTAAACCACCACCTTTCACTTTTACAGTGACAGGAAGTCCGCCTCACTGCCAGCATCATTATATTTAGCGCGGCACAAACCAAATCGGACACAATTGGCTGAGCCGTGTAATTTCCAGCTCACTCACTCAGCATCTGAGGAAGCCTTCTCCAGAGAAAGCCATTAGAGGAATCTTATGTTTTGATTAGTATTTATTGGTCATAGCAGATTAGATGTTTGTTAAATATTAAAGGTACGGCGTGTAGCTGTAAGGAAATGGAAATAATTTTTCTTTGGTTATTTTTTTGAAGAGGTAATATACAATTCTGTCTTTTCGTTATGTTGTTTGTCTCTACATATGCGAGTGTCCTCCGAACATCGATGCAAAGCACACAAGAGACGTTTCAGTTCATCTGCAACCTCGTCGCTAGATGCTGCACACTAACGCTTTTTAAAGGCAGTTCAGTACATACACTTTCTTGGTTACTGATACCTAATAAATGACTTAACTCATGTTCTAAAAAGCCATCGTTAGGATTCGCTAGTCTGTACACGTCACATGATCATAACAGCCCTCTTCCCTCTCTGACAGAACCTGTCCAGCTGCTTGTGGCTGCTGCTGAACGACCAGCCCGGCAGACTCTACTTGGAGCTGCTGTTCTTTTGCGCCGTGGCCAACTACGGACAGGTTGGTGTTCCGGACCCCGTGGTATCGAGGTCGTGAGCATTTATTGTCACACAGCACCGGTGACGTGACATGTTGATCTGTCTCCAGGGTCTTCTCTCCTTTGCTCTGTTCGGGCTCGACAAGCATTTGATTCTTCTACCATTTAAGAAGAGGTAAATTACGTTCCTTTTTTAAAACTACTGCAACCTTCTAAAGCACAAGTTGTTTATGCACACGGCATACTTGTATGTACTGAGCATGTGTACCATGTGTAGACACATCCACTACACTGTACTCTCATGCATTCACATTTAGTTTGTTGTAAATGTTGTTTAGGTTATACAGTCTGTGGTATGGAAAGAAGCAAGAAGAGCAGCTGCAGAGTGAATTGCCTGAAGAAATCAGGATGACCTGCACCCAGTTCACCAAATACCACAAGGACCAGTGTTTTCAAGACATTGTCAAAAAGAGAAGGTGAGAGCCACCGTCTTGGCTGCTCTGGAAAAAAATCAACCTTTGGGTGAATGCTTCTTTTAACTCTTTTAAAGGTGTGGGAAGAGGACTGTGGCGGACTGTTTTCTTGGCTGTGAGCTTGTGGAGTGGTTGCAGCGGGTGGGCTTGGCTCAGGACCGTGGCGAGGCGCTGCTGTATGGGACACTGCTACAGCAGGGTGGTGTCCTCCAGCACATCAAGCAGGAACACGACTTCCAAGACAGTCCCCTCCATTACCGCTTTACCGCGACATAAGACGCAGGGGTCAAAGTCTGCCTTTCTTTTCTTGGCAAAATGATGCATGTAAAAGGCCATTTGAATGGAGATTATAAAAAAAAGACATGAATACATCTCGAGGATGTACAACTTGAGGAACATAACCTGCCTGCAGCAACATATCCACACGCTGAAAAATGTGGCAGCACCAAGCAAATCCTGCACAGTAAAAGTGCTGCAGTGCAACACTCTGACCCAACCTAATGCATTGTGTGGAGTTGGTCTTAAAGGGAATTTTCAATTATGATTTTTTTGCAATTTTTACATTTAACATTTGATTCAATATGATATCTGGTATAACAGTCAATCAAGGCAGGAACGGTCAGATGATTGTACATGTACACAGAATCCCGTTTAGCCTGATCATCATAACCATTTCTTTTTGGGGTAAAACATTAAATGGGACTACCTGAAATGACCGTTTTAACCCTTCAATGGTTTGCAAATGTACTACACGGCTACCACTACGGTACTGTGGAGTAGATTTTAGTCAGAAAGTCGGTGTTGAAATTCACATCTGCAAGAGGCGGTTTCATGATGGCCAGTTTCTTTACATGTCAAATTGTCTCCCATTTTCCTCGTCCTGTTTGACTCGGTTGTAGCAAAGTCACTGCATCCTTTAATCTGCTGTAAAGTTGGTGAATAATATTTGCAGAGCTGAATAGCACTGACAGCCCAAAGAATCAAGTTTTGCGCCAGTATTAAAGAGCAGATAAAACTTTCCTGCTCTGTTTGATTTCAGTACGTCCACTTCAGTATCTGATTTTAGTTTTGTTTTCTATTTGTCATTTGGGGAGCAACTATGCTCAAATAACCGGCAACAGGCAAAGTCTGTGACAGGCAGGTACAAGCAAAAATACCACTCCTACAGAATGTAATATTTCCAGAGTGTATTATCACTCTTCAAGCAAAGCACTTTCCAAAAAAAGGGACAAAGTGGTTAAATCTGCTTCTATTTTCAGTTTGTTGGCAGCCAGTGTTACTCATATTAAGTTTGCTTTACTAGTTGGCTAACTGGCATGAAGCATGAGTAATTTAGCTTTAATAGCCTGCTGTTACAGCATGTCTATTAAACAAAGGAAACTGCCACTGGAACAATTAACTTATCATTATTAATACATGCTAACAGAGTAAATGAGTCAGAATGTTGTTGTTAATGCATGTGTTTTCTTGGAGGTGTTGGGGGGGAAGTCTCAGGTACAAAGTAATATAATTACAAAGCAAAGGGCTTAATTATACATCTTTTGTAATTGACAAAGGTTTTTTTTTTTATTACCTCAAAAAATGTTGAGAAAACTGCCATAGTGTCTTTTTGATAAAAACAGAGTGAAGCACTGACTGCATATTTATGATTTGCACGTATTTAAATAAATGTTGCTAATGAACCCATATTGATTATTTTTCGTTCATCTTTCACCTGGTTAATAGTTTTATACACAAAATTCAACATTTTGCTCAACAGTGTCCTCGGCTGCTTTATTCTTTGTACAGTCATTTTACAATCCAGTTGTGTTTTCAGAATTTATTATACAATCATGTTAGTGTATCTACCCAAACCAGCTAAAATGCAGAAGCGTCTGCTGCTACTTTCTCCCTTGCTACATGTTTCGTGGTTTCAGCTTTTACCGTAGAGACCCATCTCCCCCTGAACACAGCTTGAAAACAGATTCGCCAAAAAATCCTGTTCCACAATACCATTGGTAAGAATCTCCTCCATCTGTGTCCTCTTCTCCTTCTCCAGCGTCCTTATACCTTCTGTGATCTTCTTTCCTCTGTCCTATAGACATAAAAAAAGTTTTATTGTGGAGTACGTTCAGCACACACTAAGCCAAGCGACAGATTTCAGTCGTTAAACCTCGTGGACTTCAATGACGGCCGCCACCAGTTCGTGTTTGAGGAACAAGGCGTGCTTGCGGTCCGGCTTGCTCTGGAAGCGGGGTTTCTTCTTCACGGGGTCGTCTGCCCCGTAACTGGGAGAAGACGTCTCCTTCAGCTCATTATTGTTCTTTACGAAGACGAAAGGTTTGAACACAGACCTGTTGAAAAAGTAACTGAATCATAAATCGACTGCTTCCGAAGGGAATTTAAAAGCTGCATCATCAGTCGAAGTGGAATCAAGCGCCGTACCGTTCAGGGTCCGGAGTTGCTGTGAAATAGTGGACCCCCGGCAGAGTGGGATCGGTGGGTATCACAGACACCATGCTTCCTGTTGTCATGAACAGGCCCTCCATGTTGATGCCGCTATCTTTATCCCTCAGGATGTCCATCATCGTCTCCGCAGTGATGTGACCTTCGATGGATTAAATCAAAACGGGCATAAGCAGAGGGAAAAGCCCTGTAACTTTTTTTCCTCCTGTGTGTCGATTCCCCGCAGTGAAGTACAAACCGTCGTTCTTCTCCAGCAACTTCTTCCCCTCGCAGTATCTGCTCCCAGAGGCTTCTATTCTGGCCGTGGTCGTAAAGGAGTAGACGGTGGAGAAGTTGAACGGAGTGGCTCCATCCCACCAGCCCTGGCCTCGCGCATATTCCCTCATTTCCGGATGTTCTTTGTCGATCTTAGTCGTTATGCTGTACTGGTTGGAGATGTTGCGATATCCACCTAGAGAAGAGTAAAAGAAAAGAGGATTTACCACAAATATGAAAAATTCAACAGCTTCCTCAGCAGTGCAATGTTGTCGCTAGAAAAATAATTATTTTTAAATAATTAATATGATTCTGGATCTATTTTATCTACTACTTTGTGTGATCTGCCGATGCTGCTGTAAGCAGACCTTAGTAACAGTGCCCAAACAAAAGGAGCACAACTCGGAGGGCAGTTGTTTTCTTTAAATGAGAAATAACAGTAATAATATTAAATGCTGTACATGTTAAAAAATAACGATTTTTCTTTTTCAAATGAAAAGCTCCACTGTGAAGATCGAATATCTGGTGGACAATTGTATTCAACAAGAATTCATTTATTACGGTAAATCTGTCAACTAATCAGGGAGCGGCCTTGACCTATTACATTAGATATTATTTTCCCCCGTTACCTTCCACTCTCTCTGCTGCCCAGTGCTTCCCTGACGTTTCCAGCAGCCAGGCCTCTTTCCTGTCTGAAATGAGGAAGCTGTTGTGGTAGGTAAAGCTGCACTCATCCTCCATGCACGTTCCTCCCTGGCCATATTTCTGCAGCAACTCCGTAATAACATCCACCGCTTTCTCAGCTGTATCGGCTCTCTCAAGTCCAATCCTGGAAAGTCACAGATATACATTTGAATTGTCCTTTAAGTGTTCCTCACAAATGTATTATGAAGTGATAACAATGTACAAAATAGTTTGTGGTCACTACAGCGTCATCAAAATTCCTTCTGTTAGCTTAGTAAAACAAACCTGACAAGGTCCATGCCGAGAAGCGCTTCGTCGCCATCTGCACTCTCTCTGCCCCACACGGCTTCATTTCCAATACACACTTGATGCTCATTTGCACCCATCTCGGCGCCCCACAGCCAGGCTGGTTTGCTTAACACAACTGCATACGTGTGGGCCACCTGCTCAATCTCTATGTATGTACACTGTTCACAAGAGGAGGAAAACAAGGTTTTACAGAGACACATTGTGGGGAAACTGAAGGATTGCCATGAAATGCTGTCTGAGGGACCTAACCTCAAGCTTCTCCCCTGCACCGTGGTCTCTGGCAGGGAGATACACCACCTCCTGGACTTCATCGCAAGGCCTGTCAGAGTTTTTCCCGAAGATGACGCGCTGTCCCTCAGTGGAAGGCGGCAGAGCCACGAAGGTGTCGCAGGAGGACGGGAGCATTCTGAATCACACACTCGCTGAGTTGACACAGGGAACGATTGAATGGATGGATTACACTATTTACCAAACGCATGCCAAGAATCGCCTTAGCATAAGGAGCAAACATATTTTACAATAAATACTTGTAAATTACATCGGATTTGGCGTTAGGACTAAAGTTGGATGTGTGCAGTTTGATTGCCATACTATTGTGAAGTGTCATGTTAAGGATGCTACAGTACTCAACATTACAAAAAAGTAGCCTTACCTTTTGGTTGACGCTTTACCGAGGACTGTCTAAGGTCTAAGTTTCTGTTTTCATTTCTTCCATGTAGTGTGACGTCATCGGTCACAGTTCACGTTTTCTGAAACGGAAACAGCAAAGTCACGTGACTAAGCTGAAGTCAGCTCCTCATTCGACATTAAGCCAGTTGGGGAAACAAATCAAATCTATTTATACTATTACATTTTAAATTATATAACGTTTATACATAACCATAACTCTATATATCATCAACATAACGGTAACGTTTGATAAAGTAGCGATTAACATCTGATTCATTACCAACGAAGCAACGTTAACGTTAAGATTTTTTTTCTAAATAATAGTGCAAGCTATATTTTATTAAATTTCTAGTGTGGCACGGTGATTTTGGCATGAATATGTAGTTATGTAACGATACGTCTAAGTGAATTGACGTTAGTTAATAACTTAACTCTACTTAGTTAAGGTTACGTCATTAACGTTCACATTAATTCAGAGACGTTCAACCGCTCCCCGTGACACCATCATAGAACCATCTTCATGCAGGCGGATGTGCTCGTGTGCGACGGAAACTACGCTAACGACTCTGTAAACACAACGTAAACGCTACGACTTCCACCAACTTGACGTTATAATAGATCAATCATGGGGAAGTCGTTCGCAAATTTCATGTGTAAGAAGGATTTCCACCCTGCATCGAAGTCAAATATCAAAAAGGTGAGTGCTAGCTTCAGTTAGCGTCACTGCTTGAGGCTACACGACGTGAGATTAACCTGCTAGCTAGCCGGTGAGCTGTGCTAACTTTGTTTTGCTTTTGCTAGCCCACTTTGATAATTAGCAGGAGCTGAAATGAACCCACTTTGATAATTAACGTCACTTGATAGTAAATGTTGACTGCAGAGCATTTTGCCATAGAATCATAGACACGTTATCTAACTGTACCCAGCGAGCATTTTTTTGGTTGCAAAGGCGTTGCAAATTGGTTTAAAAGTGGTTTTAAAAAAGTTTTTTTACAATGCCTATTCGTAGACGTTCACATATAGAGCCGTTTTCAAGATGATTTGTAATATATGTGGTAAACTTACAAAAGTGGACATTGTTTCTTTTTGAACCTTTTAACATAATGAATTATATGGCACAAAGAGGACAAAACATGATCGTATAAAAAATCACTTTGAAATTTCTCTAAACATAGACGTCTTTTCAACGTCTACGAATAGACTTAGTATGCTATTAAATTTTCTTTTAAAGCTATAAATTGATATGTTATGCACCCTACATTCTTATCACTTGAATCAAAGAATTGATCCGTGTGTCAGTTACCGTCTGATTCATTGTTCTTTAAGATGTAGAACAAAATGTCAATTAATTATTCAGTAGATTTGCCAATTGTTTATGTACAGGACAGTGTTTTTGTGACCCATATTAAAATTAAAGTCCTCTGTAGTCCAGTTCCGTACTCCTTGGTGCCGTTGCGTGTCGGCGAATAAGCTGTCCAGAGAAACGTTTTTGTGTATGTATGAAGAAGTATATGTGCAGTAATCCACCTGGTCACTTTATTTTACAGGTATGGATAGCAGAACAGAAACTGACCTTCGAAAAGAAGAAGCAAGAAGATCTTATGCAGTCGTATATGAAAGAGCAAGATTGTTACAACAACAGGTGAAAAACATGATCTTTTTATATAATGCATCTTTATTTTAAACATATCCATTTTCTGTTTATTGATGAACCCTCACTTCACATGTTGTAAATCCTAATAATCACCATTTTAATTACACACGTTGTTTTCTCGCCTCTAGGGTGTTGGTTGGGGATGATCGGGTTAAAAATGGCCTCAATTTCATGTACGAGGCTCCACCTGGAGCATCCAAAGGTAATTCAACCCTTAAACCACTCTGATCCCCACTAAATATTATGCGTAATCCAAGATATGTGCTTCTTAAGGATTTTCTGGTTAACATTTGAATCCCCTTGTTTGTGTTTTATACAAAAATTATCTTCTGTCCTGAAGAGGAAACAAAAGAGGTAGAGTTCATATCAAATATATACACTTACACTTACATTGTTTCCACTTTGTTTGTATCAAGCAAGATCAACGTATTAAAATTGCTAACAAAGATGCGTCTTCTTCAGGATGGTGAGGACGAGTACAAGTTTGAGTGGCAGAAGGGGGCTCCTCGAGAGAAGTTAGTATTTTATGTATATACACAGTGACATTTATTGGCATAATATCTTTCATAATTTGCATTTTATTAAATCCTTAATTTTCCCATGTAGATATGCCAAGGATGACATGAATGTTAGAGATCAGCCATTTGGAATCCAGGTGTGTGATGTTCTTTTATTTGTTTGAAGCATATAACCGTCAGCGATACATTTAAGGGGAGCGGGGGGTCACAAGTGGATTCAAAGAGATGCAAATTTGGTTTTTGAACCACTATATTATTAAATCTACTATGGGTTGTCTAACATAACAAGATTTCAAAAAGCAAATCTGATTTTGTATATAAAGTCTAAGACATTTTGGAATGGATTTCTCTCATAATTGGGTCTTCCATCACATTTAGTTTAGATAATCATGCATACATCTCCACAATTTGTAGTAATGCCTGTTAACTACCCAGGTGCGCAACGTGCGATGCATCAAGTGTCACAAATGGGGCCATGTGAACACAGACAGAGAGTGTCCTCTCTATGGGCTGTCGGGGATCAATGCCAGCTCTGTGGCCTCAGAGGAAGCAGCAGGTATAGTACATACAATAGTTGTCCAAAGCTGACGTTGGACACATTCCCTGCAATTTATTTGTTTCTAGATGCAATTTAATGCTGATGTCTCATAACAAACCGCTGCCATTATATACAGTTTCTATTGTGATGCTATTCAATTAAATGGGGGTAATTCGTTAAATGAAAATTGCATCACAATAAAAGTTCATGTTAAGAATATGGCTATAATATTAAAGTTAAGTGATCCACCATAATGTGTGACTTAAACAGAAATATATACATGTATATATTTCTGTTAAACATAGTTCATTATGCATTGGAAGAAGAAAAAAAGCAGTAGAATAACCACAGTAGCACAAAAGAACGAGGAGAACAGGGCTTGATACTGGTAGCGAGCGTCTCTGCTTCGGTCCATCACAGACTGTGCAGCAGGTACACCTACTGTATCCGTCCTGTTGGGTTTCAGCTGGAGCTCTCGGGCTTGAGCTGATTCTGACTTCTGCAATCAGCCAGTTGAGTAAAGTAATAATGTTTACCCTGGGAGAGTCCAGTCAGTGCGTGGTTGTTGATGGTCGAGTGCTGTAATGGTCCCCTTCCTGTGCCGGGAGAAAAATATGTAATTATTGTGTATTCTGATTCCTCTAACTGCTGCTTTGGCAGAGAATGATATTGTATGATTTGCTCAGCCGGAAGTGGAGTGAGTTGATTTGATGTCCCATTCTGTTAACAAAGCCGCCCCTGAAATTCCCACTGTGGAGATAGTGGTTGGCTAGGTTTAACATCAATGGGACTCTGAGGCTGTGATTTGTGCTAACAGGTCCGTCGATGCACCCCTCTGAGTTAATGGCGGAGATGCGAAACAGTGGGTTTGCCCTGAAAAAATGTGTTCTTGGTAGGAATTCTACAGTTTGTGATCCATCGCAGGTAATTGCCGTCTCACGCTCCCGTCTTTGCACATTTTACCCGATATAAGAACACACATATACGTATTCTACCCCTCAGGGAGAAAAGCCTAACTATACTTCTTTGATGCGTCCTAGCATCAATATATATATATCAACAACATTCTGTGCTTTTGCAGGAATATGTTGCCAGCGATGACGAGGAAGATCCCGAAGTCGAATTTCTGAAGTCATTGACGACCAAGCAAAAGCAGAAGCTCCTTGGGTGAATAATGAAGCACAACTTACAAATGTGTATTATGCGAGCTTCAATTAGTCAACCGAAAATAAATAAAAAATATTACAGTTACATTGTTTGAATATTTTAAACTTTGAAGGATATTCTTTTGAATGACGTGGTTACTGGTATTTTTTTAACTTATTTTATAAATATTTGAAGCAAATAACTTAGGTTTTGTACACCTAGTACAAAACAGTAGTGTAGCCTGTACACTATTGCATTTCATCTTCATTTTAAATTCCTTTTTAAAATGTAAATCCCGCCAAGACTTTTATGTTGATATTCTACTAAAACATTTGTGCTTCTTTTTTACAGAAAACTTGATCGGCTGGAAAAGCAAAAAAAGGCCAAGAAAAGGAAGAGCAAAAAACAGAAGAAGAAGAAGAGCAAAAGTAAACAAAAGAAAAAGCATGAGAGTAGCGACAGCTCAAGTGACTCCTCCGATAGCAGCAGCAGTGATAGTGACTCAGATTCAGACAGTCGTGGCAAGTTCAAGAGCCCAGAGAGAAAGAAGAACAAGAAAAAAGGTTCCTGTCGGGATAACAGCTCTAAGAGCGAGCGGCGAGTCAAGAGTCAGAAAAGGGCCTCGTCTCCCAGAAGCAGGTCACCGAGCCCTCGCACCGGACACAAGCGGCGTGAAGAGCGCTCCGCAGATTACAGGCAAACAAAGGCCGAGAGGGGCAGGAGCAGGAGTCCGAATCGCAGCCCAGCGAACAAGATCAAGCCGGAGGGAGGTCAAGAGAGAGAGGGGCTGGACAGCAGGGACGGGCAGAGAGCGAGCAGCTCCAGGCCCGCCACGGACTCAGGGAGGAGCGGCGAGAAAGGCAGGGAGGACAGAGGTGAAGACGGGCGACACAGCAGAGATGATGACAGGAACAGAAGCGGCACAGATGGAAGGAGAGGCAGAGCAGCAGATGGGAGGAGTAGAAGCAGGGAAAGGAGGAAGGAAAGGGAGGGCAGGGGAGGAAGTAGGAGTAGAGAGAGGAGAGAGAGAAGCCAAGACAGAACAAAAAGGAAGCACTGACTCGTTTGAATTGGTTCCCTCTTTCAATGTGGGATAAAACGTGTTGATTCTTTTTTTTTCTTTGCTATGACTGTTCTATGGTGTTGTTGGTAATCAAAGTGTTCCCTCTCTTTTTTAAATGGAAGATATTGTGCAGTAGGTCTCCTTTTTCTCCAGCAGAGGGAAGCAGTCGATAGAAAATGTACCCAGCTCATGTGTTTTCCTCTATCCGTTAAAGGGTCTAAATTAATTGATTAACATTTGAGGCAATTTGCAGCTGTGATCCGTTGATGTGAAAATATTGGATGAATTTTTAATGGCCGCTAGAAAGACTCAATTCTGTCACTGCTGTTGATTTTTTTATTTTTTTTATTTTGGTAGTGTAATTACAAAATATCCATGTCGTAAAGTGTTCTGTTTTGAGCTGATAGCTAAAAGCTAAAATTCTGATTAAAATTCTAATCATCTCAATCAAAAAAATGCCTTCTTTTGCGATGCATGAAAAAAAAAGTCAGCGTCTGAAATCGGTTGAAAATGAAGACTGATCTGTTTATTAATGTTATCGCACTTCATTCTATTTTTTTTCACTTTATGATAGAAAAATATTCATTTAACTACTTTTTAATATGATTTCATGTTTTTCAGGCCGGTTTCCCTGAATGCCTTGACACAATGTGTTTTCAATGAGGCTGTGAATTATGTCCTGCTCAATTGTTGCGGCTGTCGCACCAAACAAATGTGCAGTGTGTAAACACACTGGAGGGAAACAAACGCTGCAGTATATTTATCAATGCACAATATTATTTTATATTTTGAGGAAACTAGTATTAGATACTTATATTACCTAAATTGGACAGTTCCTTATTCCTGTTATTCGTTCTATTAATTTATTTTTTGCAAACATTTACACGTTTATATTTATCAGCCTCTGTGATACACTCGTAACAACGATTTTTAGTTTGAAATGAAATCTTCTTAATAATTACATTTAACCGCTAAGAGCTTAAATTTCGTAAAGCTTAAAGCGTTCGCTTTTATATTTTTGATGAAATTCAAATAGGGTGTCCTAATAGTTTTCACTATCTGGCCGTTTACTTGAAGCCGCTGTTGCACAAAAGGAAATGAAAATAATTCCCCTCTATTGCCTTCTGGTCAATTTAACATCCTCTTAGAGAAAGCGGGTGTCTGGATGAGACGCCGTTCCTTGACGTATTCCCAGTCGTGGCCCTCGCGCTGTAATTATTCCCCGGCTTCGCTCTTTTTTTCCCCCCTGTGAGAGTCGGACGCTGCAGTGGGTAAGCACAAAGAAGTCAGAGAGCATCCTTGAACCCTTTCAACGCGGGGGCCACTGATATTCAAATAACGCGCAGGCACCGTTTGACTGGGCCGAGCAGAGAGCATTTCACATTCAAAACATTTGCATGTGACTCTTTTTTTTTTTTTTTTTGCCCCCTTGGTTTTCTCAAGTTTTAAAAAACTGTTCCCATAACATCTCCGTGGCTTCTGGCCAAAGAGAACGACGCCGTGTCCCTTATTCTCGGTCCATCGATTGCTATGCAAATGAGAGCAGTTAATTTGGACAATTAGAATAAATATTCAGGGACCCTTTTGTCGTCAAACCCCCCTCTGGAAACCCCCCGATAAAGTGAAACTGAACAAAAGATGCCTCGGAGATTAATTAGATATTTGATAAGACACGAATCCCTAATCGCAAATACAAGACACATGGGGCTGCCATGTGCTCCAAGTCATAATTAATACCATTTAACAAGATTTTCATTTAGGCATGAAATGTTTTTTTGCCGGGGCATTACACATATTTATTCCATAGGGGAAATAGTGAAAGTGAAGGTATCATTGGTGTTTTAAAGAAAAATAGAGCAGCACTCCACTTTTTTTTCTTCTCTCAATTAAATTAAACTATTTTTGAAATTTAAACCTCGCATAAATAATTAAACCAAAAAAATGTATATATAAAATCTCCATCACACAATTTCAGCCTTTTTTAAAGATGTTTTAATTACGATAAAATGAAAGTGTTATACGTGTGACTTTATACAGGTAAACATTTATATATAGATTTTTTTAGCAAAGAAATAAAATGATTAACCAAAGTTGAAAAAGCTGTATACATACATATCCACAAAGTGCGTCGAAAGTAAACTCCCTGATTTCCAGGATACCAACACGAATAAAACAATCATAGCCTAACATTTACATGAAAATAACACATAGTTTAGTCGTCAATATACAAGATGTAACTCACATTGTCCAACCAAAGTTCAACAGGTTTCGCGCCACCTCAAACATCCATTTCATTTTGAAGTTGCCTGTGTTTTCTTTAGATGGATTTACGAATGAAATACTCGTTACGCCTGTGGAGAATATATATTTTTTTAAGACTTGAAATATTTTCTCCTTTTATTGTCTCGTCAAATTAGACCCGTTTTCAACGCTGTGCAGTTTTGAATCTGGTTTGATTTTTGGGCTGAAACCTCATTAGGGCTCGTCTTGAGGAGACGGATCCTTAACAGTGATTCTGGGATTAACCCCCTCCAAAATAAGTTCTGGCGACTCGGACCTCGGGGTCTCCAGGTTACTGGTGTCGGTGTCACTGTCGCTGCCCCTTTTGCCTCCTCCACCGGCCGTGTGCGTTTTGATGTGCTTGCTCAAATGGTCACTCCGCATAAAGCGCTTGTTACATACCGGGCATGCAAACCTTTTCTCGCCGGTGTGGGTGCGAAGGTGTCTCTGGAGCTCATCGGACCGAGTGAACCTTTTGCCGCAGAAAAGCCAGTTGCAGACAAAAGGCCGCTCGCCGGTGTGCCATCTCAGATGCGCTTTGAGGTGAGATGTCTTTCCGTACACTTTACCGCAGCCGGGAATGTGGCAGCTGTGGAGTCCCTTCCTGCGCAGGCTGGCGCCGGCAGGTCCCAGTCGCTCGGCCTCCTGGCAATTGGGACAGTCGCACGTCGCCCGGCCGGAGTACCGCCGGGATGACCTCGAGGAGCTACTTATTCCTGAACTGCCCCCAGAAATCATGGCGTTGGCGGCGGAAGCGTCTGTGTAAGTGGGGATGACCGTCTTGAAGCCGTCCTGTGTTAACAGGTGCTGACCGGTGGACAGCAGGTGGGACGCGCTGGGGTTGATTCCAGTGGAGCTGAACGCCGAGTGCGTCAGCGAGGAGAAGTCCGGGTTGTAGCCACTCAGCTGCGAGTGGATGGCTTGAGGCGAGCCGGTGTGCAGCGAGGTCTGCAGGGTGCTCGCGGGGTTCTGGACATCGAGCCACGACCCCGGATTAGTGTGCACGTCTCACTACGAGGACGCGCTGTTGGCGACGTCGCCGGAGATGACGAGTGTAACGGACTTGTACCACGATTCGTACGGGTGCGCCATCCCCACCCGCGGGTAAGAGTCTCCGCCGATGTGTGGACTTTGGATATAAAAGCCGACTGTCCGGACTCTTGAGACGCGACCCCCGCAGAGTTGGAGAACAGACCGCTGTACTCTGTGGAAAACGCCGACGAGGTCGGGGACGTGGAGGCCAAGCAAAAGGCGCTGTTGCCCGCGCCGCTGGTCGGCGTTAGTCCTGTCGACGCGCGGCTCGTCGCTACTGTGAAACCGGGCAGGCTGGATCCCAAGTTGCAGCTCGAGGAGGATCTTTTCCACGGGTGAAATCCACCTTTCGAGAAAGCGCTCGAGTCAGGTAAAGTCGTGAGGGGACTGGTGTTGCCAATTTTGTTGCAAGTGGCCGCCAGCATTGCTAGAGGTGTAGTTCCAAACCGTGGCTCTTCCTGAAAAACACACACAAACAAAAGTTTCATTTAATCTGGGATTAAATTTGGGAAGCAAAACAAAAAAAAAGACTAGGTTCTAAATAAATAACCCAGATGATAACAACTGTGATTATTAAAAGTATAATTTGAACGAAGATACAACAACAACAAGCAACATTTTTTTTTGGACAAACTTTCACGGCTTATGAACTGCGTCAGCTATGTGCTGTGAGCAAACTGACCAAGCGCCTTTCTCGTGTCATAAGGTTTTATTTCGAATAAAGACCGAATAAGTAGTCGTATAATCAACAGAGGCAATAGTTTAAAAAAAAAAAAAGCAAACTCGAAAGCAAGCAGACAGCAAACAGCAGAAGGCTGCAGCAACTTCACGCACAACTTGCTGGCCCCGCACACAGTCGGACTCACCCCAAGTATAGACGTTGCCATATCCAGGGTCTGCGCCGGGATGAGTGTTTCTCGCGATGTCAGTGCTGCGCGCCTCCAACTGGATTCCGACTCGCCGTGTTTGACTTTGGGTCACACGGTTTCTCTCTTGGCTTCGCAGCTCACCAACAACTACCTAGTTGTAGAGAGCGTGATTCTTTGAAGTACAGCTGGCGAGCACGCGCAGCCAATCCCGTGGCCGCGTGGATGTCCGGGGGGATGGAGTCAGCCAATCGGAGCGCCGACCGCCATCAGAAACGCCGCAAACTCCGCCGTCAATCATCCGCCGTGCAGCCTCTGCTCAGACTGTCATACGAAACACAATTTGGCGTCTTTCTTTTTTTTTTTTTTGCTTTCTTTTTTTTTAAACGCGTGCAGTTATTTTCATGTAGTGAATTCTACACGCGAAAGCTCAATGTCTCCTTTCATTGCAGAATATAGAGTCCGCGCGTCAGTTCTCCGAGAGGTAAGGTTTTCTCTCATTTCGAAACGTTTTGCGGATGGTGATAAACGCCGCGTGGTTCCAGGTTTCCCTTTCGGACTTTCAGTATTCAGATCACGCGCAACACGTCATTGACAATCGTTGTCGTTTACGCACGTATAGCACCCCGAGCGAGGTTCAGGCGCGCCGTTGGTCCCGATGCCTTTATCGGAACAGCGCACGCCGCTGCGCGTTACGCATGGCGCAGTTGATGCTTTTTGGGGATGGGGATGGGGGGCGCATATATGTGCTCTCTGTCTTGAATGCTCGTGGTGTAGATGATAGAAATCACAGACGGGTGGATTAAGTTTAGTGAAGAAGTCCAGGCACAAGCCTGACAGCACGTGACATCTGGTCTCCAAACCACAAACGTAAAGACTTTTCCCTGAATACGTTAAGAAAAACAAAACAAAGTATGAGTCGCAGTGGATCCACTGACGTAAGGTTTGTTTACTTTCAGTCAAAAATACCTGCATCTGCTCTCGTGCTTATGGTCCCGTTCACGCGGCCATTCCTTACGACCCCCCACCCCCCCCCCCCCCATCACACATACACACCCAACGTCCCCCCACCCCGAGTGCAGGTGAGGGGTTAATTAAGAAGGACAGCTTACATTCACGGGGCGTGTGCATGTGTTTAAAAAAGAGAACTATTTTATGGGCGAAAAAAAGTGGGATCTTCCAGATGTTGCCTGTTTTTTAGGCCGTCAGGCATCTCTATTAAACTGCTCCAACAGGATGCACGAGGCATGTCTTGCATGTGACAAATGCAGCTGTATGCTTCTCTAATATACTCATTTTTATTATAAAACTACTTTCCTCGACTCGCGACTTTTTTTCCCCTTGTCTTTTGATATCACAATGCAACGAGTCCACACATCCCACAGCTTGTTAAAACGCACAGGGATGATGGCATAATGTAGAATTGACCATCTCTTAAACGTGAACCATTATGCCTTTAAAAGTTAGAGCAATTTTCCAGAGAAAGGCTTGACCAAAAGATGCGCATTACAGTATTCAAAACGTGCAAATAATGCTCCCATTATTGAGTGTGAATGCTGCCAGTCAACACAGGCGCAATTTGTTCGAATACTCTTAAAACCACCACCTTTGGAAGGGTGAATAAATATCATCCTCATCAAATACTGCACGCTGCCAAGAAAATTGAATCATCTTTCGCAATCATGACAATTTGGCTGAGTGCACTAACGTTATTAAATGTCTATTCTACATAAATACAGTTGATTGTTGCAAAATAAGTCAGATCAATCCGAGCGTTAAATGAGAACAGAGCTGAGTATGCCTGTTTCACGTTAGACTTTCATAATATTAAATAACCGGAAAATAAATCAAGCTTTTATTTATAGGTTAACATTTACTTTTAAAAAGCATGATCTAATGTCTTCTGTCTATGTTAATTATCTTGCATGAATATTTCTGTAGCCGGCTATGATATCTTAATAAAAGGCATGTGTTCAGATAAAAATAATAATAATACTAACAAAAAAATATGCCAACGAATCAGGCTTTATGCACCAATAGATATATTTTATGTATACCATTCACTTAATTGTAAAGAAATATGTTTGTAGAATTAAGATACAAGAATAAAATAATTGTATTTTTTCACGGTGTTTACTTGGGGACAAAAGAGGAGCGCATGATCTCGCCTTGTCATTCAGGGGAGAATTTTGAATCGGATCTGTAATTCTGGACTCCACTCGCGAGCACTTCTCTGTGGCAATTAGAAGCCCATTACAAGCCATTAGATTGATCAATGTACCTTAAACAATGGGAATGATTTATTTGGTCGAACAAAACGCTCTGCATCTATTGTGATGAGTCTAAGTGGGGGTGCATCCATCAACAAAAGATAAATGATTAATTCAGACCTATTCATTTGAATTCTTTCTACAAAGCCAGCCTCACTTGCCCCAAATCCAGATTATTACAGCCTCATTTTCTGCGTGTTAAACCTGACAGGCTGCTGGATTGGCCGACGTTTATATATATATTTTTTTTTGGGGGGGGGGGGGGGTTGTGCCCCTGTGTGCTTTAATTTGTATTTCGGCTGAGGGAAGTTTATTTGAGGACGTTTAACTAATTGTTGTAACGTTGTGTGCTCCTTTGGCTACACCTGGTTTTCTCACAAGGTGGGGGGTGGGGGGGGAGGGGATAGAAATTTCTTTGTTTCCTGACCTCTAAAGCTGTTTTGTTATCAGACCATCACACGTGCCAGTGGCAGCTCGTGGAATATAAACAGTGGACACAAGTAGATTTTGTCCAGACGCCACTTGAAATATCTTCCTTTTCCTGCAGATATTTTGGCCTCGCAGTATAATATTCTGCTCCCTCGGGGGGGGGGCGACTGTCTCAACAGTCGGTGTAAAGACGCATCTCCAGTTTGTCGGAATGATTCAAATGAATCAGTGCAGCTGTTGAGCCTCCGATACAGATCAACTCCGCTTCAAATGCACAGCGCACATCGATTACCACCATCGACAGCAACATTTGGAAGTTCAGCTGAGCTTGAGCTGCTTGCAGAGTCAACTTTCACTTGGCTGCATGATCTGTTTTTGATTGCGGGGCAGCGAACCAGTCGATGGACTCCGCTTTGCACACTTTCCCAACGAATGTGGTGATTTCTCTGCTTTGGTGAGCTGTTGTGGAAGGGTAACAGAGGGGAGATTGCTCCCCCCCAAAAAGGTGCAGTTTATGAGGAACAGCTCCGTATTGTAAGTTATGTAATGGTCTTTGGTTCGCTCTGACTGCAGACATCTCCACGGACGCGCCAAAGACGCACTGATTGGAAGGTTTGGCACTTCATTAGAAATAGGAGTGGTTTGACCGCCCAATGTAGGGTAAGTAAAGTTTTTTTTTCTCACCTTTTCGCTTTCTAACCATTTGCACTGCATGCATCAGCACGTGCTCTGTCAGCATCTGAACTGTGATGCGTGAATATAAATGCATGTAAGGCAGGATGTAAACTGCAGAATGCACAACTAAAGATTAGAAGTTGGACTTAAGTTAGAATAATTGTTTCAGGAGCTTTCTCGGCATGCCACAAGTTACTGAAACAAAGAAAAGGGCTAGATGATGTAAACAATTTCTATGTACATTATAAAGAGAACAAAATCCTTTTTTGGAAAACCTTTCAGCGTTCCTTAACTAACAGAGGAGTGTTCCTCCTTTGTCTAAATGTGTGAGCTGCTCAATCTTTCAGAATTACATTTGCATGGTGGAATATATACGTATTATGAATAAGGGTAAACCTGCACTTATAAAGTCACTCTTTTACAAGGAGTTGGAATGTGTCAAACATTATAGTTTTAAAAGTTAAATCCTTTAACAAAAGATATCATTCAAGTTTGTACTCTGTATTGTTTTCATTATTGTGGGTTTTGTGATCACAGAGGCCTTATTTTCAATTAGAGAAAACAGCTTAATTGTGTGTGACATTTTATTGATGAGTATGTGTCATGAACCATCTACATTTGTATCACACCAGCACACAAACATGGACCTGCCATACTGTGAATTCAGAGAAGGTCTTTAAATGAATGAAAAGCATTAAGTAACCCTATTGTCCCCCAGTGTTAAATACCCACTTATCAGTCAGATCATCTCAGAGGTCAGGGTTCATCCTTGACACCTCTCTGGTCCACCACATACTACACGCAGTCACTCTCGCGTTCATATAGCTGGTAATTTGGACGTTCACTTGTCCGACATGTCTTTTATGTTTTATGTCCAAGGAAATACGTCACAAAGTGAACACAAAACACAGAACTCTCACTGAGCGACCGTAGATGCTGGAATCAGCTCCCAGCTCACAGTCATTGACACGGTTATTAGCAAGTTGAAAAGCATGGAAAGCTTCACAAGAAAAGCTAGTTTTCTTCTCATTATTGGTTCACACAACACGCCAAAGAAATGCAAGCTGTAAACCCAATGAGAATAAATTGCACAAAATATATTTTATATTGTCTCTTTCATCTACGGTATGTAGATATATGATGATGATGATGATGAAATATATAATATTTGATGAGAGGAAAAGTGAAAATATAATGTTAGTGGGTTAAGTTCCCAATGATGAAAGACACAGTACACACTGGCATGTGTGAAAGCCTTATTGAGGTGTTTATTAATATTCTTTTTGGTCAATGAGTCAATGTAATAAAAAACAAGTAATTGATGTGAAGAAAGAACACGAGGGTTAGACAAATAATATTTAAAGTTCTATTAAGGTGGACAAGTTAACAAGAATCTGTACTATATGGTCACACCGTGTTAGCAGACACTGTCTGAATGTCGGACAAATCCACCTTGACAGCATCTACCAACATATATATATATATATATATATATATATATATATATATATATATATATATATATATACCTTACGGGACTCTCAGGAAGGGCCAGTTATAGTTTATCTTCTGCTTAGCTTGGAGGTTTTCATCCTTTTGCAGCTCCTCAAAACAGTTTGAGTGACTTTCACATAAAATGTTGTTTTTCAAGAAGCCTAAAAAAATGGACAGAAACGTCAATGATGTTGCGACGTCAATCCGATTACCATGAACTGTAACCCACATATAATAATCAACAAAAAAATTAAACTTAATGTACTACTTATGTATATTTTTTTCAGGACCTGTA